TTGTGTTGTTACGAACAGCATTTTCCATGTCAATTGAAGCTAAGAGCTCGTTCTCATATTCGTTTTCCAGGTCATACAAGACGTCCGGGTCAAAAATAACCCTGAGGGAGAAGTCTGGGAATAGGTCGGCCATTTTTACAGATGGGTCGATGGCGTGACACCATCAACCCGTGCTCTGTTCTCTGATAAAGCACGCTGTTTCAGCCAATCAGGGCGCGCGTTATATGGAAACTTTATTATAAAATGTACTAGTGTAACATCTTCAAATGAGTATTTTTAAACGTTGCGCTGTACAAAGTAGAATTAAATTCTACTTTTCGAACGATTACTGCAACGAACTCGTTGCTGGGCATGCATGTTTAATACACTACGCAACAGATCTTGTGCAACGTATCTCGACTCGAATTGGCGTAAAAACCTGCGAGACAAGTTGCAACTAAAAAGTTGCGTAGTGTAACAGCTTGTTAAAGGAACAGTCGTCCCTATATTATATCAACACTGCTTCATTGTAATACTTCAAGACCCCTAGTAAAGCGAAAATTTCTAAACTAGTGAGCAACTCTGCGAATTGGAGTTGTCAAACTTGTTTATTCTTCGACGCGTTTCGTCTAATTATCGTGGACTTGTTCAGAGAGTTTTACAAACATACAATAAACGACCTAAAGCCATAATACGGCCATTGGCAGGACAACAAACCACAAAGGAACAGGCGAAGTTGTGAAATAGTTAACACCTTGGCTAAATGTTTCCGTCGCAATTTCGCGAAATCCGCCCGACCCTTCAAGCTGTTAATGATCTTCAAAATAGCCGCTAGTATGGTTGAATTGTGTGTGTTTCGTGTATGTTTGTAAAACTCTCACAAGAAGTCTGCGATCGTTAGACGAAACGCGTGGAAGAATAAGCAAGTTTTGCAACTGAAGTTCACAGAGTGCTGCTTACTAGGTAAGCATTTAAAAAGTTGTGTTATAATTGTATCAAATTGCTAGACTGTACTGTATGGCCTCGCTACCAAAGGCTCAGGGAAGAGCATGTTGATCGCATATGCTATAAACAGCAACTCACGGTTACAATGCGGCGGTACAGGTGGCTCCCACGCGTTCCATACAGTCAATACTCAGCTTTGCAGTTCGGTTAGTAGAATTCTTCGCGGTTGGCACCGACTGGCAATAACCACAGCATGTCTGAAAATTTATAATAATAACAAAATGATAGCACGCGTAAAAGATGTGGAAACTGAAGAATACATGTCGTCAAATGTGTAACGCAAACCTTAAGGATGTTTTGCTTTCGCTGGTCGCTCAGGTAAACGATACTGAAAAGTCGACTAGAATAAACACACCAGATACACGTGCACATGGATGGAATAACTGTTCTAAAGATAACTCTTTTGTTGGATGAGGAATTGTGGAATTAGCGTCACTATACAACACTCAAGTGAAACAGGCTTGAATTTTGAATTACCTTCTTTATTCAACTGTGCTTTACAAACTTAACTCAACTCTGATCATTGTAACTCCGATGCGTAGGTTTGGCTTGCGCTCTTTTATCTGGATCAAACCCGTGCTGTCAATCAGCTGTCTAATCCGTCAAATTCGGAAATCA